TCTTACTCTCCATCACACTCTCTTTGCAATTTCCAGATTGGTTCATCATCGTCATGTTCCAAATTTTCTGACATTACATAAACCACACACACATTAGAGTCTTCATTGACGTTTTCAACAAAGCTAGATTCATAGAGCCATTTTATCGGTTTGTTTTGCGTGGTTTTTATCAGTTTACCTTAAGTTCTTCATAATCGAAGACACCATTTCCATCAAGGTCAGCTCGAACCCATAGCTCTTTTGTCTCTTGGAAGCTAAGTCCATGTGGTATACCCGTTAGATTTACCTGCCACACAATATGTTTGATCGATAAGTAGAGAAAATCAAAGTCTACTCTCTCAAAGTTTCTACTCCACCGTTGAAACACATTGTAAGATACTCAAGCAACTTCTCTGAAATCTCAAGTTTATCACAGTTTTACTATTAAGTGTCAAAATTCAATTAGAATCTGCAAATTTCAAGATTCTTTGGCAGCATTCGTGGATAATCGAGGTCTTTCTAGGCTCTTTTTCCTGAAGAAAATAGAAATTAATATACCTTTTGAAGTGCCTGGCAAAAGTCAGGGTAGGTTAGTGAATCACTGCGATTATTTGCCCCAAGAAAAGCAAATGCATCGTCCTCGGCTATGGAAGCTTTCTGTAGTTGATACTGGAAGAACCATCAAGAGAAATCAGAATGAAAGAAAAAGGACATGAATATATCAGTTGAGGAAAAACAATCATAAACAATCATGAATAACGAGAAAAAAGATTGTGATCATAATCATAAACAGACATGGTATGGTGACTTAACATTTATATTGTGACTTAACATTTATAAATGCTAAGTGACTAATATATTAGTTTTCGAAGATCTCACCTTGATAATGCTGAAAACAGCTTCCACCCAGCTTGTTCTCAATGGTTTTCTTGAACTGCTTGGGTTACAGAGCCATATGAAATCAACTCCGCATATGTTTCCCCTGTGGTTTCTATGGCTAACCCACTGAAGAATACAAGGAAGAAAGACGGTTAAGGATGTGTCTTAAACAACATGAACCAGGTTTTTATAACAGGAGGCTAGAGAAAAAATATTGTAAGAGATGTCTACCCTATGAGCATCACTGTCTGTATACTTATGAGCAACATCGTATGATGATATGAACCCTTGAGATCTCAAGAATTTGTACACATGCCCACGCTTGCTTCCATTCCAGTCACTGAAATAAGCATAATTCAAAGTTTGTGATTACATTGTACTGGTGGAGGGACACAATCTCAAGACTCTTTAAGACCAAAAGCTAACCCGCAGAGAATAATGGGCATGTGATTAAGTTTATTTTCCTTTTGGTAGGCTTCCAGATATTCGAGAATTTTGTAAACCTGTCAAGAGAAGCAGATATAATAAAGTTAACTATCACCAGATCTAAGGGAAACATGTTTTTAAAAAGCAAAATAATAAGAAGGATGACCAACCTGATGCAATCTTACAATAGACAAGCTAGAATCATGAGGAAACAAGAGGTGAGTGTTCACTATAAGAACTTCTTGTTGAATTTCTTGCTTCCCATTAAGCGGAAAGGGAATAATTGATTTGACGTGTAAGAGCTGAGCAACACGGTCTCCGAAATCGTTAAAGAGCAGCTCTCGGTAATTTACAAGTTTAAAGTAGTCCTTATGGATGGCAGTTAAAAGACCTGTAAGAATATATTCAAGCAACATTGAGCCACTTAAGTTACTAATGACTATGGACAGAATTTTTGTCCTCAGAACAATTCACCAATAACCACATCCTTCTACTCCTAACTAGAACTGAGGACATATCAATCAAAAGTGTTGAAAACATCATAAAAATGGAGAATGAATCTTACCATCACCACGACCGTTTGTTCTAGCCAACTGGAAAATAGCGTAGCCTGCAGTGCCAAGCCGCTCATGGTACATCTTCACCAATTCCTCATTCCCAACCCAAACTTCCTATGAACAGTCACAATTGCTAAAGAGTCAGCTATAACTATAACTCGTCTTTAACAATCTTACATACACAAGAAATGTTTGATTACCTGGAGACAGATGACTGAAGATCGTTGATGGAGTAAACAATCTAAAATCTTCTGATTCCTAGCAAACCAAAGCGCGCGAAAATCGCTCTCTCGAACACTATGATCCTGTTCCCATATTGCAAAAGAAAAAGAAAAAAACCCAACCCCACGATCAATTCAAATGTCAACGAATACGAAATTCCGATTTGAAATCAACAAAGCAAATGTAGGAAGAAAACAAAACCTGTTGATCAACTCGTTTATAAATCGGAGCCAAGATATTGAAAGTGGTACATGAAATATTCGGTTCCACAATCGAAGCTAAGTTCGAGTTGAATCTCTGCAACAAAACACAATCGACCG